CTAACCATACTGCTAGCTGTTGTACGAGATATATATACAATATGCAAGTGTATATATATGTACATATATGTACCTTATGTTACTCGGTTACTTTCTACAATCTTACTCTTTATTTTTATACACTATTAAAGTTACCATACGTCGTAAATTATTTTTTTTACAGCCAATTAAAATTTTTTACACATTTTACTTTTTTTTTTTACTGACTGGTATTGTTTTTTTCGATGGTAATTTATCGATTATTTTGACCCTTTGTAAGAATTTTTTATAGTACAGTTTAAAAAAAATTAGAAAATTTTTAAGTGAGTTTTTATAATTAATTAAAATAAATTTTTTTTTTTGCTCAATTTAGAAAAAATAGGCAAAATATTTATATAAAATTAAAAAATCGAAAAGTTATAAACAAAATAAATTACAAATTAATTTAATGGATATAAATGAATTAAAAATTTCTAAAGCTTGAATATCTTCTTTAATAATTAACGATAAAATATTCTTTTAAAATTTTTTAAATCAAAGAAATTTCCGACTTGTACCTCTCGAATAAAATTAAAAAGAAAGAAACAACTAATGATCGTTTGTTTGAAAATAAATATATTTCAAATGAGCAAATATGTAAATTATGACTAAATGATAAAATCCACGCCCATTAACACGTAATTCTTCGTGGAAAAAATAACCGAGTTAATTTTCCGAGCATTCATGTAACTTATTAACAGGCCCATAAAAAAGATTAGTTAATATTTCATAATATTTAATTTATCGTCAATTAAACATTCAATAAGTGTACACTTTTTAGCAATAGTCACTTGATTATAATAATTAGTAATAAAAATAATAGTCAGCGAACAATTTTTTCTATGATGTATATTAATAATTTATTTCGTCCATATTATTTTTATCGTCAATAAATACCCGAGCGTTTAAAATAATGCTCGAGGTGGAGCAGAAGTTATTTTTCGCGTTAAGGTAATTGCGGTTGCATGCTAACGAACCGATGTCTAATTGCCACATGTCCTATACGTGTATATGATGTCCGAGTATTGGTGTATTATCACGTATAAGCTACGCAATGATTAAAGTTTATGACAGAAAACAAAACTTTAAACAAATAAATAAATAAATAAATAAATAAATGGTCGGTAGCTTTTCAGTTTGTGAAAAATAAATTTGTTGTTTAAAATAAAATAATTGAAATTCTACTCAACCGGTCCGGTGGTATTATTTTAAATGTTGATTTAAATTAAATAGTAGGAAATTTTTCAAGTATAAAGAGAGAAAAGAGAAGCGATTGAGTTTAATCGAGACACCGGAAATGAGTAGTATGCAATATAATATGTAATAGTGAGGCTGGATTTTCATACTAGAGCTCAGCGGAAAATAATTAAGAAAAATAATAACGGTTGCAAATATAAATTAAATTGATTAAAAGAATAGAATCAGATGTAGGAAATGAACATCTGCTTGCTCGGTGGTTACTACGGGTCGATAATTATAATTTAATAATATTTTTTAAATGATAATTAAAGATAGAGGTTCATCCGTCACCTACGTGATCGATTAATCAGTGGATGATGTATAATTATGTAAGAAAATTGTCATTTGTAATTACAGAGCTTGAGCCATGACGTAGCTGAGGTAACCGGTTTAGGGCTGGAGACTGTACCGGACACTAAAATCATGGTAATTATTTTTATAAATAATCTTTAACATTTATTTATAATTTATTTTATTTATTAAGACATTTATTATTTTTATAATAAATTCATTCATGTCTTTTAACACGTTTTTCGTTATTTATCTTCTTATAAAGTTTTTTTTCTAGTGATAATTATGATTAAGCAGCTAATTTTTTTACTTTAAGATTTTATTAACTCGGTAGTTAGTGGTAATTAGTTAATTTGATAGAAAGTTTAATTATTCACATTATCAGAAGTGGTAATTTTGTAGAAAGTTTGGATATTTTTTTTTAAATTTCCAATTAAAATATTTCAAAAAATCCTTTTTTTTTTTTTAAATTAAACTCTAAAAAACCCTACAAATTTTTAAAATTGTTTTTATAAGAATTCACACATTAAAAAAATCATAAAAATTGTTCAGTCTGTTAATTTGAGAACCAAAAATTTTATTACTTTCAAGAAACTCATCCTAACACAAAATTTTTATATTTTCTGAATAACTGAGTCATAGTCATAAATGAAATTACTAGAATTAGCCTTTTAAAAACCACCTGATGGTCATAAAAGCCCCTTCAATCCTAACTTCGACTAAAAAAAAAATACAATATTGTTACATAATTTACAACACAAAAATGGGTTTATATTATGACATGTAAGAAAATAGGCATGATACCTGTCAGATCGGAATATATGTGTTCATAATGCAAGGTATCCGTTGGTAACGGTGTCTTTGTGCACTAGAGCATGGAAGACTCTAGAGCCCAGAAAAAGACAAACACAAGAACGAGAAATGATATATAAATATAAATATAAATTGTAAAGTAGCAAAAGGAAGTAATGCACTCGTGCTAGCAAACCAATACTTAAAGAAAATAAATAAGAAAAACCACTTGTTTGCCCATTCTTGGACGAAATTCCTTCGCGGCATGATCATCGCCGTGATTCAGAGCCTAGCCGGAGTTTTAACAACTCAGCTATTTGCATAAGTTACGTATTATATATGAATATATATTTATATTTATATACAGTTGACTGAGCATGGCGACAACGACCAAAAAAAAATTCAATAAAATAAAAATAGGAGACAAAAAAGGAAATGTAATCTTTCATCCTCAATCTAACGACACATGAACCTCGGTCCACCCACGATCTATCTAATCCCTACAAATATATATATTATGTATCATTTATTATTTATTTCGAGTTTGAGTTTTAGATTGAGCCTTGACTGCCCACTCGTATAAAGTAGAAGTAGAGGTTTAACGGTGTAAAAACACGATCAGTGGTATACTTGATAGATAAAAAAAAAAGAAAAATAAGCAACCGGTGATAAGAAGTGACTCAACAAGTTGAGACGTGTGATGCTAAATCACATCTTCTCCCTCAATGATCCCTGTACAGGCTTTATTTTTATTTTCCGCCCATTCCCCCGCGATGTAAACATGGCTGACGTCACCCCGAGTCCAGGTGAATAAATTTTATCTTTACTGCTGTTTACTATAATGGATAGTGATAATGATGATGGTATAAGCGCGAATAAGGCAGATGCTGAATTTCATTTGTGCGAACGGATGAAACGGACAATTGGAACTGTCGAAGGCTGGAGGAAATCAATCATTACACTCGGCCTCAATGCAATTGTTTAAATTCATTGCTAGTACTGGTGGGTTGGAAGCTGTTAGTAGTTGTGTTTAGAGGTAGGTGAGCAACAATCGGAGGAAGTATTTGGTTTTTTGCAATTGGGTGTAATCGATTATGGGATCAGTGGTAAAAAAAATTTCAATCTTGTCAGTGATTTTGATGTTTTTTTTTTTTTAATTAATTGTTGACTTTGTTTTAATGAAGGATATTTCTTGTTGATTGTTGATTTATTTTAAATTAATGAAAAGAAATAAATTGTTTTTGGTAATTGCTTACACTGCAAATTACTCTCTAAATAATTTTTTCTTGTAACTGGTAATTAAAAAAAAAATCGTAATTGTAAATTATTAATTCTCATAGTTGCAACTGTCAATTTAAATTAATGAATAACTTAAAATTTTCTATTGAAAATTTTTTTTATAAAAAAAAATCTTGGTAGTTTGAACAAAACTACCGATAGTTCAATAAATCGATATTGCAACAGCAAGTATTTGTAATCAATAAATGCTTTAAAATGGCCATGATACATTTTATTAGCGCAAGTGGTAATGTAAAATAAGGAGCAAATAGCAATAACTTACGGCTGGGTGATCGTGGATATGGAATATATGGAATGGAATGGAATAGAATCGTTAGCGGCATGCACTGTCCAGATTATTGTTATTAAAAATAATATAATATTGCAGAAAATAATAAATAAATCGAATGTTGACTGTCGGGCAAAATAATGTGTCCTTGTATAGAATACCGATCGATCGAATTGCACGCACGTGCATATAGTCATAGTCACTTTGACAAACGGCTCAAGAGAGTGAAAGTTGTGTAACTGGAATTCAGTTGGTTAATTTTAAAAATGGATTTTATCGTCACTCTTGAATGCATTACTTGCTCTAGTTGTACATTACCTTCGTTATTTTTTACGATTTAATACCTCCGTGAATAATATATTATTATTTTATATAACATTTATATTTATACCGCTAATAAAACATTCTGGATTTATTATATTAATTTAAGACTAGCAGTACCCTCGTCCGCTTCGTTAGCCCGACAATTACTTGTTTATTGCTGAGTTATGCCAAGTTTTTTGCTAGTTTTAGCTTTGTACCAATAAAAAGTCTTCATAATAATAAGCAAACTCGTGACCGTATCTTGTTTCAAATTAATTTCATTTTCAATTAAAACTATCGATTGTTTTTCATTTTCATTCTTCCGGGTGAATGTTTTTCCATCCATGACCTTTATAGTTCATGGACAATTCGTAGTTTAATTTTCAGCAGTCTGCTCTTTTTCATGCCGAATCATTGAAATATTTAAATTCTAAACAGCTGCTTTTAATTTTAGTTGAAAATAATTTTCCTGAGTTTGAAAATTGGTTATTTAAAAATTAATTGAACCGAAACTTTTTTCTAAATATCTTTTCTAGTGTTCGGCAGATTAAAGATAAGAAGAGGATTTATAAAAATAAAAAAAAAATCAATTATTAATTTAATTTTCTTTCAATATATAATCAAACAAGTGAAATAGTATATTTTGATTAAAAAAGAAGTTCAAGTTTCAAGCATTGAAAATAACAAATTCATGTTATGTCACATAGCATTGAATTTTTTTTAATATATAATAATAATAATGATAATAATGATGTTGAATGATATTTATTAATAAAGCCATGTTTGCTTCAAATTAAAGATGTGGAGACTGTTGCTGGTGATAACGCTGTCCAGTGAAGCGTGGACACAAAGCAACTATGCATCCCAAGGCAACAGTATTGAATATCAGCCCGGATTACCACCGAGCACAATTCTCGATGGGAAAGTTACCAAATTGGATGAGCTGTCTCCAATAATATTTCTCAATCGTACGAAGGCCTATTTGAATTGCAGCCAAGGTAGCATGCAGGTGGAGTTAAAGTTCGATGAGCCGTTCTACGGGGTCGCCTACGCGGATTTCGACCGCAACAGCGCCTGTATGGTCAAGGGACGTGGGTTTAATTATGCTGAATTGGAGCTGCCTTTAAAAGGTAACCCACCGAAATGCTAAATACCTTAATACCCATTTTATCTCTTGTGTAAGTGGGATCATGTATTTTTTTTTCATTACATAATACTAACCATCGAAAAAATAATGACGATAATAAAAATAACCATTAACCAAATGAGAAGGCTACTAAAATTGATAAATCGATTGATTATTAAACTTTATTTTAGGATGCGGCACTAAACAAGATCCCCAGCGGGTTTTTACCAACAACATTGTGGTCCGTTTTCATCCGGGACTCGAAATGGATGGCGACGAAGTTATTACGATAATATGTCGTTATCCTCCTCCAATAACCCCCAAACCATCAATAGCTGAAGGAGTGTAAGTTTCCATCAGATATCCAACCGCTATCAAACCATCTATTAATCAATCTACCAATTTCCGTGGCCATTTGCCTCCGAAAACATACCAGAGCATATCCGGCAATCAATTCTTGCTTTTTTCTTTTTGGTCCATATTCAATGATGAATAAATTAACTTGATTGAAGAGGAAAAAGTTTAGAGAGTTTTATTGTCTGAGTCAAGCAGAAAAATTTTTGAATTAGAAAATTTTTTAAAAATTCTACTTAGCTCAATAAATTTTTTCCTTAGTTAAAGAAATGAAAAATTCATTAAAATATTCTTCTTGGTTCAAATTCCTTCTCTTGAATAAATATAAAATAATTTTTAATAATTAACAAACAAATTTTCTTTCCAGACTACCACCGATTCCCGCAGAAGGAGGAATAGCTGAGCCACCTCTAAAAGGCTTCCAAATCCTCCTGACAATCTGCGCACTCCTGTTCCTCTCTCTGCTGCTCTTAGGGCTAGGCTGCTCTTACCTCTGTCTAAAACGACGCAACATCCGAGTAGTCCACCGACATCCATTCGGCAGCGCCACAGGATCCGAAATCACAAAGCTCTCTGGCTCATCACTGGGCCACCTGTCGATGTTCGAGGGGCTAAAAATACCTCGCGCCCACACTTTATTACACACCGCCGCCTCGTCTTCAGGTAGCGAGGCGAACCTCGTGATCGATCACTCAGACACTCTTCCAAGTGATTACCCAAGCGAGAGCCACTCGGAAGTCGGTATCGAGACTGCTAACGCCTACGGATTTGACGAGATAATCCACTCAACCCGGTCAACCACCTCATTAACACCCGGGTTGTCCCAAATCGACGAAGTCCGCTCCTTGCCACCCTCCTCTCTGGACTCCTACGACAACAAGGCCTACATCCACGACCAGGACAGGAACATCCACACTAGCTCTCTCTACTCCGAGACCATCACTGACCTAGATTCTCGGGTCACCAGACACCCTGTCGAGCCGAAATTCGACGTACAGATGAGAGTTAAACGAGCCCCTCCTCCTCCAAGTCCTCTCCCGTCAGAATCTGACGCCAGCATCGCCTTGGAGCGGAACTTGACGACCATTTTGGAACGTGAGGAGACTATGAGGTCCATGGAGACTCCCAAATCTCGCTTGACCACCTTCTCCTACGTTCCAGAGCTCCATAGTCCCCCTAGCAGCATGATATCCCGCCAACAAACCCCTCCTGTCTACTCCCGGATCCTCCGGAAACAAGCTGAACGCGAGAGCCACGAAGTAAACACTCAAGGACAACCTGGAACCCTCCACCGACCAAGATCTTTGACTACTCTGGAAGAGTACTCAGAAACAAGGACGATGGTTGATACTCAAGTAACTGATGCTTCTCATGCTAAATACAGAGTAGCCAGCATCCTGGCGCCCACTCCTCCTCCTCCACCTCCTATTGTACCGACTCACACCCATACGTCAATTCAACAACGCGAACATATTCGCGAAGAGGTTGAACCGCTAGTGGAAGCAGTAGTTGCGCCAAGACGCCCAGAAATCACGACACATGAAGTTGATGATGTGTTCTTGAGGACAGTCACCGAAAAGAAAACCATTGAAGACGTAGAAAGACACAAGAGACAGGTGACTGAGTACTACAGAAAGCCTGATCCTAAATGGGATGTAACAATTCGAAATTATCCTGCAGACGAAGTCCCTCCTGCGCCTCCTCAGTGGGAGAACTTTTCAGACGTCAGTTCGGCGTCTAATTTGACGATTGTCAATGACCATCTTCATATGATGAGGTCTGCGGATGAGGTAGATTCAACTATTGAACCTACTTACAGTCGCGCGGAAATGCCGTCCAGATCGCCTCAAGGTTTGGACACTGAGAGTGTCGGAGACCAGTGGGAGACCTTGTCCAGGGTGCTGGAGCCGCAGTACTCTGGAGAGCTGACAGATGATGAAAGGGAGAAGTGGAGGGAAGTTATTACTACCGAAAGTACTTTGAGGACTTTGTTATCAGAAGCGGTCGTTAAGGAAGATTACGACTTGATCAGGAAGGACGCGAGGTACCAAACTCTATTTCCTCCCGCGAAGTGGGACGTTATTATCAGGATCTTGAGTCCTCCGCCAGCTTCCTCAATCGCTTCGAGCAAGAGTGGGCAGAAGTATAAGAGAAGCAAAGGTTCGGAATGGGACAGCAGGTCTAGGAGGTCTTCTCTACCGACCTTGTATGAGTATGATAGTGATGGTGGAACCTCTATCAGGACTCATGATGTTCCAGGTGCTCCGTCGGATGATCGCAATAGGAGGTTGAGTATTACCAGGACGGGGAGTGAAATTGACTTGAGATCCGAGTCTGAAACCATCAGGAACTTCAAGATGCAGAGGGACGATGTGAGTGTTAGTTCTTATGACGCTGACTCTATTGTCAGGTCCCTGAGCCAGCCCAGTTTGGCCAGGTCGGAGTTCGCGGAACATTGGGGCCTCCCGGCGAGAAACCTGAGGACTTGGGCGCCAGAAACTGAAGAAGTTGCCAGTTCGCCGGATACCACGCCCATGGCGATTAGAAGAGGAGACAGGGTGGAAGTTATGACTTCTTTTGATTCGGGAAATCATCCGGGATTGACCAGTACTTTTACCAGGTCCACAAGGTACTCTGAAAGGGAGACTGTGAGGGTGACTGAGGCGGGAAGACCCGGGTGGTTTCACGATGACTCGGAACCGGAAATGCAAATTTAAATAGATAGTCTTATTTTGGAGTGATGAGGATTGGACGAAGGGAATTTCATTGCAAAAGCATTGATTTTATGGAGTTATTACAGATTGCTCAACTATTCCCGATAATTGTGGGTAATTTAATTATGAGCCGACGAGTTATTAAATTATGGGGTTAATTAGTTTACATTGAGTCGATATTGGGGTTTTTCGGCTGGATTGGTTTTATTGGTGAATATTACAAGCACTAAACTTGCCGATTTTTTGTATTGTAGATTTATAGTTTTGATTCTTTTATTCTAGGGGATGTTTGGATAATTTTTTCTTGGTTTGTTGAATTTTTTTAAACTATTGCCAAAATACTGAGTTAATTTGTTTTTTTTTTTCTTCAATACTTTGAGAGGACAACTAACTAAAAGTTTTTGACTTAGAATCTCAATCATTAATATTTTTGAATCAAAAATTAATCAGCTCAAAAAATTGACATCTAGTCTTCGAATTTTTTTAAAAATTCAATCAAAATTTTTTTAATAATTAGATTAAAAATTGGCTGACATATCAAAATAATAATTCTATTATCAATTTGTAATTATTACATGGTTTGCTGGCAAATCAAAAAAACTTTAAAAAATATGAATTATTTTCAGAACGAACTAGCAAATATTTAGTTTAAATCGATTATATAATTAAAAAAAAAAATCAAATGATCGTCATAAAAAATTCAGCAAACCAAAAACATTCTATTTGAACCGAATGTCCTCTACACAACCACTGCCAGAATCCCGACCCAATGCTGGATTGCTGAAGTAAAAATAAACGAAAAACGAAAATAAAATCCAACATTACATTGCCGATTTCGAAGACTTAGATTCTTCACGAATCAATACTGCAGTCATTTACGAACATGTATTTATATACATAATCCTTAACCGTACTGCCTAAAATTTTTTATCCTGCACTGCATGCTTTTATTTGTTTAAAATTCGACAAATGGACCAGACGCACCATTCAATTTTTTATACTTTTTAATTTTTATTTGTATCTACGACCGCCAGGTTTTCCACTTGCCACTCGTATAAATCTAACAATCGTTAAATTTTTAACCCCAAGCTTTACTAATCCAGACCAAAACCTTTTTGGGAATTAATCTTTTTACGAGTGGGACTGTAGAGTCTGGCCTTGAGCCTCGGTAAAAACAGAATATATATATCGAGGCTGTTTATATTATTTTTTACTTCGTCATTTAGATAATTAACATTTGGAACATTTTTAAAAATACTATTATTAATGTCCTAACATCATCATCATCATCATCATCATTATTGTCATTATGATCATCATTATTTTTATTCTAACTTTAAACGCTCTTTTATAATTTTTTACGGAAAAATTTTTTATGTTAATGCAGGATAAAAAAAACGTGTAACTCGATGTCATTACAATTACCCACGTACTAGTGATAATAGTTATGTAGGTCAAACTAAAAAAGATACGGTGCTGGGTACGCTTCAATTTAGTTTATAAAACAGCAAAAAATTCGCTGAAGAAAATAATCCTTCAAACAATAATTATAAATAATTAATTTACTTTTAATGAGAGATCAAAAAAAGCTAATGGAATAATATTAATATTTAAATAGTTAAAAATTGAAAAAAAAAAATTTTTATTAAAAAAATGTCATACCTTTTTAACCCATTTATTCACTAAAATTCACCTGAATCATGGCCACTGGGTACTTAAATGTTACGTACTTACTGTTATTGATTTACTGTCGTTATATAAAAAATTATAACTTATTTTAATCGAGTCTTGCCATGATCAAAAATTTTCTTTACTAATAAATAATGTAAACAACGGAGAAAATTTAGAGAAATCATTTTTAAAATGGTTAATAGTTAAGTAAGAAAATTTAATTAATTCAATTGTTAAATAACACTTTTTTTCACTAATTGTTTGAAAATTATATGCTAATTTTTTTATAAAAATGTTTACAGAATAAAGTGAAATTTTTTTCATTAATAAAATTTTTGAAAATGAAAAATTTTACGATTTATTGAAGAATAAATTGTTTTTCGGGTAGAAAATTTTTTTTATCAAGTAAAAATAATTTTTTCTACTAAACAATTGAAAAGTAAAGTAGTCAAGGTGCTAAACTGTACATAAGTTAAGATTAAAATTATAACTAGTGAAGTGAAGACACAAAGTCAAAAGTATGTATTGTTAAAAAACCTGTATTGTAACTTTATATAAACTAAATAAAAAAAAAATTAATGCGACTCAACACGAGACCTGTATATTCACTGTACTCTACTTACCGAATAAATGTTAACGCTTCTACATAAAATCTCATGTAACTTAATTAAATCACCCTTGTCAACTCTCTAATTTTATTTCGTAATATAAATTACTGAAAAGAAAGAAGAAAAAAAAACGAGTAAATAAAATGTAAATTGAGTGTAAGTACCAGTAAACAGCGATGTATATACGCCTAACCTTGAATAATTTGTCGCAAAATAAATTTCGATCGATCCCTTGCCTGAAATTCCAATAATTTAGTCACGCAGGGTTGGGACTTTGCGATAAATGGGTAACTAAATTCCAGGTCTTATCAATCTCGCTGCCTTCCAGCAGCCGCCTTTTTTTATTATTATGCCATTTTTTTTTTTTTTCATTCTATCTTTTTTTATTAATCAAACTCTATAGTATTGGTTAGGCCAGATAAAAATGAATAAAATATAAAAAGACAAAGTAATAAAATAAAGTGAAATAAAATTCCTCATACATCTGAATAAATTACTACTCCCACGCTTACTCTCGGCAAGAGCCACGTTACGTAATAAAAAACCCTTAAACTTTATTCTTATTTTCATAACTGCTAAACTATTCATCTAATGAGCCTGTTTTAAATTTTTTACATTCTCGAGGAATCACTCGATAAAAAATCAACGATCGATTGTCTGTGGAATAAATTCTGCTTTAGAATGATAAGAGAGCGTAAGTAGAAGCTCAACTATCGCGTTTATGTAAATTTTATTTTAAGGTGAGATCTAACGACATTCATAAAATTTTAATTAAAAAATAGTGAATTTTATTATTATTTTTTTAATAATGAGAAATTATTTCATTAATTATTTTAATTTTTAGTCAAAGAATTTTGAGGTAATTCATCATTTTTTAAGACAAGTTAAAAAATTCAAACTTATTTTTTTTAATCAATCATTTAGACTACTTTGGCTTTATTTCCGAGTTTTTAAAAATTTTAGTAATCTTGACATACTTTTTTCGAGTGAATAATTATCATACTATATCCTTATCCCAAACTTTGTTTTTCTTTCATAAAATAATAAAGTATACATTCTTGGGACAATAACCAAATTAAACCCGTTTTTTCCGAAGAGTCCTGCTCAGCTCTTTAATAAAATTAGCGAAAGTTTCGGAAACAAGATCCAGCAAAACGAGAGAAAAAAAAACTTTTGTAAAAATATGAAACTTGGTCTTAGACGTCTCGGCGTCTCGGGAAAACAGTGAGGAAAACAACTAGAGCAAAACAACTCTATCTCGTTTGCAAACGAGAAATATGTCTGAGATAAGTATCGGGAGAAAAGGAGGCAAGGACTGACTGGAAATAATAACCCTCTGATCAAGAAAGGACGCATGCGTTTAAAGCATCCCCGTGTCGAATGTACGGAAAGCAACTCCGTGTCTCCGTAAAATCGAGCAGTCACGTGTCTCTACAGCAGCCGGCTGCTGGCTGCTGGCTGCTGGAGAGGGTACTACTATCTACACACTCTTCTCTCTTGCTTGTAAATTTACCCTCTGATATATAATATCTGCACACACACAGTTGACATGTTATATAATGTGTACCGAACACAAGTTCATGTTGTCGCGAGCGGAGATAAAAAGGGGAGTCAGAGCTTCAAGGTAAGCGCGCGTACAAGCGCTAACGGTGTTGGTTAATGCACGCTGCTCCTGGTGGGGTAGTTTGTGGAAGGTGCCACGCCGATTATGCCAGTCTATGTATCTACGGGTACCCCCGGTATCTCAACCCTCTACCTGCATTCAGTTCCTGAGCGGCTCTTATAGACACATCATCTACTCTTCTCCCGCTCTCACAACTTCTTTTAAAAACAATATTTTAACTTGTGTCTTAAATGCTAAATAGTTATGCGGTTGAGGTAGGATTTGTGATGTGAAAACGTGGAATAATTTATTTTTTAATTGTTTCAAAGTTTTTCGAGTTAATGAAACTGATTTAACTTAAAAGTTAATAGAAAATTTAGTCTTCTGTGGGGTAAATAATTTTGTGTTGAAAAAATGAACTTGCTATTTTATTTTAAATAAAAAATTTTGAGCCTGCATTCTGGACACAGTATAGAAAATCCGGAAAAATAATTAAAAATTTTTTTTTATGGGAAATTTAATTTTTTATAAAAAAGGTTCTCATTAATTTTTTTGCATCTTTTATTATTCAACAACTAATTTAATTTTAAATAATATTAAGAATAAAGAATTTTTTGTTAAAAATGATCAAAATTCAATAAAATAATAGACTCATCTTAACTATTCGTTGAGTAAATATTTATCTGTCAACATGTAAAACTTTACAAAAACTAATATTTGTTTGTAGATATTATAAATATTTATTTAGGGTCGAATAAATTGTGAATATTGATTTGATTGTATTAAATTAAAAAAAAAAAATCTTGTTTATTTAAAACTAATAGTTTGCTAATGGATTAGTGATCAGAAAAAAAATTTTTTATTTAAAAAAAAATCCAATGAATAACGATTTAACTTTTTGAAGGCTGCTATCAATGTATCAGTGTGGAGAAACTAAAATAGGATAATCGAATAATCGGAATGGAGATGAACCAATTAATTTAATTAAATAGCATATAATTGAGTGGGTGTTGACCTTGAACTGATAATGGAAGTTATCCGGAAGTTATCGGATCAGAGAGAAGGAAATTAGCGAATGGAAGAAACGTTTTATCGCATTGCTGAAGAGTCAACTACCTGTT